GAAAAACAAATCTGTACAAAACAAAATTCATAATTGACTTTTGGTTCTTGCGCACAACTGCATACTGTGGAGTGCTCTATCTGTAGAACAAATTTCAGAATTCACAATATGGTGTTCGTGAAAAAAAATCCACAATATTCATTAACTACAAATTAATTTGTCTTCTATCACAGTTCCATAAGGAAAGCAAAAGACGAGAGGAAATTAATTAGGCGATTGGATGCCGGTTGATGTGTCCTTATATGGCTCGTCGGGGCAGGGGTGAATGCAAGATGCGAAGGGCATGATGGCCTGAATCTCCTTGTCGCCCTTCTCCTTGATAGCCCTGACGAACATAAAAAGAAGATGCAATCAAGCCATGACACATGCAGCACTGGCTACTTACCGATTGGTTAGGGTCCTAGGAAGAGAGTGAAGAAGTGGGGATAAGAGTAAGGGCATCCCACCCCTTCTCGACGACCTCGGCGTCTGTGATGATGTTGAAGTCCAGCGCTCTAGCACCTCGCTGGTGGGTGGTGGCCTTGGTCATGATCACTAGCTTAACCCATTGCATCTTCCCGGACTCCAGCCATTCTGCAACATTTAGTTTCAGAGACAAAAGATCTACAAGCAGTAGTATACAAATTTTATGGAGCTCATGTATGCAAGAAAAAACTACACAGCGGCAAGAAATTCCACGTACTCGAAGCTACATGAATACAATACGTTTGGGATCTCAGATATGATCATATGAATCCCATTTTCAATAAAAGATTGATTTCACGACTTCCCACCAACAGACCTCAATCATACTATTAAATCAATAGTGGTGGTCTCCTGATAATATCTCCTTAGTTTGAGCAGTGATTCACCACGGTAGTGACTGATTGAGAACCGAGACTGAATCACGATAGAACATAATGTGATTGAGGAAGAAAGGATAGGGCACGCAAGAAAAGAACCAAAGATTAGGATGAACCTTGGTGCTTGCGCGTGGCCTACACGACTGACCGCTCCTCAGCATACGAGCGGCCGCCGCTGCTCGGCCCACGCGATGCCGTCGCCGCTCCCTGGCCCTTGCGATGTCGCCGCAGCTGCTAGCGCGTTTTGCCTACGACGCTCCTAACTCGATGACGATGGCGACAGAGCCCCGCAGTGTGATGATGTCCTTGGACGCCGTCCACGACATCACTTCGGTCTCCACTTCTCCTCGCTCGGACGGATGGGATCGCAACCACATAATCGCATGCGATTTTTGTTTCCTTCTTCATTCGCCGGGATAGTCGCCGTCGTGGGGTCCACTTCATGCTCCCTCGCGCAAGCTAGGGAAGCTAGGCAAGCGAGCGAGTGAGGGAGAAAAGAGAATTGCCGGTGATTGTGTGGGGCGCTGGTGTTTCCTTTATTCTCACGGTGATTATCTCCAAAATCCATCTATTCTAACACGCGATTTTTGTTTCCTTCTTCATTTGCCTTGATTTGGCGCTTGCTTTCCATGCACGGGTGGGATTTTTTTTGCGTGATTAATTTTCTAACTGCGGAGAGTGAATTTTGTCACAGGGGACGGGCGTAGGAGCGAGGGGTGCGGGATCGCAATAGGCAGGACGATGGACCCATGTTAGAATATCGCACCAAAACGATGCCCACTCTTTAGTCTTTTTAGTTGTGAGAGATTCATACAGTACGTATGAAGATGGTGTGTGATATATTTTTCTAATCTTATATTATTTAATAACAAAAATAATTTTGTATCTATCACAAACATTAATGTGTTGTAGTGGTATGGGAATGACCTACTAAACCATGGGGGCTTGCGTTCAAACCCTTGCACCATCACTATTTTTGTGGATGTTATTTTATTTCCTCTGAGAAAGAAATAAATCGAATCGGTGCCAGCTTTGCGAGCGCGAAAAAAAAATGCCGTGGGAAAAACATCCGCTAGAAAAAAAAATGCCGTGGAAAAAAAAATCCGGCAGTTGCGAGCGCGAATGGGCGGGAAAACGGGTGACGGCACCTGTCGGCCTACCAGATGCCGACACGTTCATCTGCAGAAGAAGATCTACAGGCGCAAGGATTTCCTTCGCTGGTGGACTAAGTAAAAACAGCATCGGCAGGGTTCCTCTGAAATTTTGCTTAGTTGTTGCCTTACATAAGAAACGTTTATGTAATCTGGTAGTGGTAGTCTGAGACGTGAGAAGTTCAGACGTTGGTGTTGTGCCTGGATTCATTGTGCAACCAGTGTGCTAATAAATGACAGTTTGTTAAAGGCACACCCGTTACTGTCATTTATTCTATAGAGTACCTTTGGGGGGACAAATTTAATTTCCACAGCTTGTTCCCATTTCAAATTAGAACAAAATTCACCGTTGGTCCCTGAACTTGGCCGGAGGTGTTATTTAGGTTCCTGAACTTCTAAAGCGATATCCGTGGGTCCTTAAACTTGGCAGACGGTGACATCCATGTCCTTAAACTTTCAAAGTGATCACCGTAGGTCCCTAAACTTGGCTGACGGTGTCATCCCAGTCCCTGAACTTTCAAGGTGATCACCGTAGGTCCCTAAACTTAGCAAGTGGTGTCATACATGTTCAAATATGGTCTAACCTACTCTATAAGCTAGCGTGGCACGCTAACTGTACGTTAGACATGAATCCAACATGTGTCAATTAATCAATCATTATTTATATAATATTTATCATGAAAATACAAATTATATAAAAATAATTTACATCAGCAAAAAAATTAAAGTATTAAAATACTTTACAACAACAAATATATTAGGTTTAAACTAAAATAGAAAATACTAAAATTAATTTAGTATTTATGTATCGTTGATAGTATTAAAATAATATTAAAATTCCTATAGTATTAAAAGTTTTCTCAATTAAAAGTTACTTCTAATTTTAGTATTATTTTAAAAGTTTTAATAATAGTATTATAGAAGTAACTTTTTCTCTATTATTAATACTATAATACTATTACTTTTAATAGTAGCATTATAGTATTAGAACTTTTAAGAATAGTATTAAAAGTTTTAACAATAATATTATAGTATTAATAATACAGAAAAGTTACTTCTATAATATTACTATTAAAACTTCTAAAATAATACTAAATTTAGAAGTAACTTAATAGAGAAATTTTTTTATACTATAGGTAACTTTTAATATTATTATATTTGGACAGGGATGACACCACCTGCCAAGTTTAGGGACATGCGGTGATCACCTTAAAAGTTTAGGGACCGGGATGACACTGTCAGCCAAGTTTAGGGACCTGCGGTGATCACCTTAAAAGTTTAGGGACATGGATGACACTATTGGCCAAATTTAGGGACCCACATATATATCACTTTAGAAGTTCAGAAAACTAGATGACACTGTCGGCCAAGTTCGAGAACCGACGGTGAATTTTGCTCTCCAAATTATAATCCTCCTGTGTTTGAGTCTGAGCTTGATTCAGCGACTTGTCTCTTTGCCAGGCGTGCCCGAGAGTCTGATACAGGAGCCGTGTCCTACTCGGAGTAGAACATGATGCCTATCGGGAATAATACCGTGTGTCTATATATACATATGGGATACCAATGCTGAGTCAACCTAGAGTAACCATTGTCCGTCTTTCTCCTTCCTGCATGTACGCCATGGAACTGCAGAATGAAGACGGGCGCAGGAAGAGGAGGAGGAGCAGTCCTCCAAGCCAGAATCTTGAGCTGTCGGAGGAGCTCATCGTTGAGGAGATCCTGGTTCGTGCTGTCTGTCAAGTCCCTGGTGCGGTTCAAAGTCTGTCTGCAAGGCCTGGCGCGCCACCATCTCGGATCCCGTCTTCATCCGGGCGCACCTCCGCCACTCTGCAACCAAACGGGAGCAGGACCCGTGTGTGATCATCAGCCCCGTCACCCTGAACTATGCCATCCCAGGGGAGTCCCGGCCGAGCACCTTCTCCAACCAATTCCGCTGCTACCAGCGGCATCATCTGCGATTTTTTTTTTATTTTAACATTTTTTTAAACTAATTTTAAATCTAACGCTGTTTTTTTCTTCTAAAACTAACATTTTTTGTCGCGCCTATTGCTATGGCGCGGCGAAACACCTGTGCCGCGCCATGCATGGTGGCGCGCGCGGCAAGATGACGTGGCGTGATGACCGGGGCGCTGACCAGTGATGTGGCAGGGTCTGACGCGGCAGAGTCGGCTAAAAGGCCCGCGGCCCAGTCCCACCTGCCTGCCGCGCCCGCCGCGTCCACCTGCCTGCCAGCCGCGAGCCTTTTAGCCGGCTCTGCCGCGCCACCGATCAGGGCCCCGGTCGTCGTGCCACGTCATCCTCCCGCCGTGCCACCATGCATGGCGCGGCACAGGCGTTTCCCGCGCCATGGCAATAGACGCAGCCAAAAGAGTTAGTTTTGGAAGAAGAAAAAAAACTAATGTTAGATTTAAAATTAGGTTAAAAAAGTGTTAAAAATAAAAATAAATTCTCATCTGCAAGGCAATGGCGGCGGTACTGCCTCCTCTAAACAGACAGCGACGCTCATCTACACCAAGGACCTTGGCAGCGGCGAAGTTATTAGCCAGCTGGGTTACTTGGCGTTCTGTGATGGTCTGGTGCTCGTTCGCACCGACACCAAGCTCTATCTCTTCAACCCGGCCACCAGGGACGCCTCACGCTGCCGGACAGTAAGCGCAACAATTTGGCGCGAGAAGCAGGCTGCAATTCTGCAGGCCTAGGCCTGGATCCACGCAGTGGTAAGTACAAGGTGGTTCGAGCCTTGTACCGGTCTGTTGATATCATCGCGAATGCCTACCGGATCGGGTTGGAGGTGTTCACCGTTGGCGGCGGCCGCCGTGCTTGGAGGAAGACAGCACATGATCCGCCATACCCCTTCTATAGACGGCAGACTAGCCTTACTGTCAAAGGGTTGATGTTCTAGCGCATCGACAAAGTTCGCCACGGACATCATCGGACTCCGCCGCGGGGTCTCCTCCACCTCAACCTGGCAGATTAGTCATTCGGAGTCACCAGGCTACCGGACTCCATGGACCCTGTGCTGGACGATGATGCCTTCATAATGGACATGCTACGCGGGGAGCTATGGCTGACGACGCGCACCAGCAAGACGCCGGATACCATGACCATCTGGCCGATGCCGGTGGACGACGAAGGGGGCCAAGGCCATTGGGAGCGGCGCTACTCCATCGTCGGGTACCCGCCTAGCAGTGGTGATGGCAGCAGCCGGGTCTTGTTCTGGAATCAACGAGTGCTCTACAGCTATGATGTGGCGACCTCGATGCTGACGACCGTGTGCGAGATGGATCGCATGAGGTACCAGGGTCGAACAGCACGCAAGTGGAAGCATCTCTTCAAGTTCAATGTTAGGCTCTACACGGAGTCTCTCGTTCCTCTCACTGCTTAGATGATAGATGCATGGTTTTATTTGGTGACGAGGCCGTGGCAAGCATGCATTCCTACTTTTTGTTGAAAATAAAGCGCCTAGCTGATGGCTCATTGCGCGTTGTTCCATAGTATCATTGTCAGGGACCAATACTAGGTACCAAAAGATGACGCTGATTCGTCCGACCCCCGAGGGTTAGCTCCAGCTCTTGCCGACCGCCGAGGCCGCGAGGCCCGCGCCAGCCCGACCCCGACCTTCGAGGTTGGCCGCCTCGGCTGACCCCGAGGATGGCTCCGCCTCGTCCCGACCCCGAGGTTGGCTCCGCCTCGGTTGACCTCGGCGGGGGGCGCTTCCGCCTCGCCGCCGCCACGTTCGAGGGTTGGCTCCGCCTCGGCGGCGTGACCCCGAGGGATGGCTCCGCCTCGTCCGACCCCGAGGGCTTGGCTCGCCTTTCGGCTGCAACGGCGGAGTGACCTCGCCCGGGCCTTCACGGGCTGGGCTGAGATCGCCCGCCCTGGCGTCGAGGGTTGGCTCCGCCTGGCCGACCCACAGAGGGCGACTCAAGTCCATCCGCCTTTAGAGCTCCCGAGGGGTGACCCAAGGTTAAACTCCATCGACATCGCCTGCAGGGTGAGGCGGTCATGTCTCAACATGACCCTCTCCAGCATGATGTGTCATTCGATGCTGCCGGAAGTCACATCGCCACATGAGGACCAGGGTCGAACGCATGGTCACTATGCAAGTTCCCACTCCACGTCTCGTTCTCTCACTGCTTAGATCGATAGATGCATGGTTTTATTTGCGACGTCGCCGTGGCAAGGCGGAGTGGGATGTTCCGACCGGCTGACAACGCTAGGGCAAGGCATCATCGATATACAAGGCGCTGACGATGAAGCTGTCCTCGCGTTGACCTGCCGGCCCGTGTCGGTGAGGCCCGCACAAAAGAAAAGAAAGGTTCGGCAACCCTGAAGGACTTTCTCTCCCTCTCTCGTTCTCCTCTTTTCTCCCGCTGTAACCCGTGCTTTTTTCTTAGCCTATAAAAGGGAAAAGAGGGCACCCCACTAAGGGGCATCGTACCGCATCACACCAAAAACCACTAGCATCGAACCTTGAACACATAGCCGAGCAGCGACCGAGCTCTTGGCACCCTTTCGTGCTTTTCACCAGAGACTTGGGACCTGTCCCTCTCTCATCCGTTTGTAACTGCTACTACGAATTTTTCAGTGCTAGTAACATGAGCAGCAGCAATGAATTGGATGTAGGGACATTCCGCCCGAACCAGTATAAACCTCGTGTCCTCTTAGCACACCATTCGAGCCAGACGCGTAATAATATAAATTTACTTGTTGATGTTTACTCAAAACACCGACAGTTAACGCGTTAGGTAGAGCCTTTTGCACGTCTCGACATCTAACGCCTGGCCTCGTATGGCTAGTACTGCGAACTTGGAAGATTGGCCCCGAAATCCCGAATTAGCCCAGCCCGAAATAATCAAAGGAGTCGTTGCGCGACAGCGCGAATTCATACCATTTTTTTTCTGGTCGAGCATGCATGCGAATCTTTTCCACGTAACCACGGCGCCTCTACTCCTACGCGTGCGTACGAAGAGAGGCGTATCTGCTGCCCTGCAACAGACGTGCACCCTGAACCTGCCGCAGGCAGATACGCAACGGATCATGTCATGCACGTACGCTTCGCAGTCCGCAGGCACAACCACCGCGCGCGATCGACGTCGGCGATCGAGCTAGGGAAGAAAACAAGACCGTACGTATCGAGCGTATCCGATCCGGGGAGTATTATACTTCATCCTCCAGATAAAAAATCGCGTCGCGCGTGGAGCGTGTGCCGTGTGCCGGTTTTGGCCGGGCGCCGCGCCGGAAGCCCGGAACGGGATCCTCGTGAATCCACCGAGACGACGGGGGGCCGCGGTGCATCTCCCAACGAAAATGCCAGGCGGCCCGGCCGGGCTTTCCGGGCCGGCTATCCGCCCCGTGGACCCCGCCAGCTGCCCCGTGCTGTCCCCTGACACGGGCGTGGCCGCCGATTGGCGGCTGGTTTCGGCCTCAGATGTGGGAAAAGCAGGCACGGTGCTCACTGCTCGGGCTTTGTGAGTCGTGACATCACAAAGGGCTCCTGCCTGCGACGGAGGAAGAGGAAGTGCATCTTCCCCTGTCCTTTTCCGTGCCCAGAACGTCCAACACTTTAGAAAAGAGTACGGTAGTAATGATTTCGTCCTTATCAAATTATTCTGAACCAAGTTTTACATAAGAAAAAATGATTATATTTATGATATCAAATGAATAAGTTTCATTTAAAAAAACAAATCGACAAAAGAGCTGCCCGTACCAGCCTGTTCGCTTGTTCGTAAACGATCGTAAATTTCTAGCCGGAAACAGTGTTTTTCCCTCACACCAAACCAGCCAGCAGTAAATAATCCACGATACGATACGGCCTTCCGAACAGACGGTACGGGCAGCTCTTCTGTCGATAGGACTTCGTGCCCGCGGGGTCCTCCGGAGCCTGGGCTGCAAATTGCGGCTTTGTCTCCATACGCAAAAAAAAGAGAGAGGCTTTGGCTCTTCTTCCAATCGCGCAGAAGCGCTTCTCCTCATGTCACTATTTGGTGTTGCCGGAGTGGGAGCTCCAGTAAACATGTACTAAAAAGAAGATGTCAGTACTATTATAAACTATATACTATTATTTTCATAGCTTCGTTCTTTGAAGTGATAAATGTTAATATCCACTTCTATATGAACTTTTACAATAAAATCATGATATCTTTTAGACGGATGGAGTACATAGAAGCGTTTCGACGCTAATTGCTCTTCGACAAGTGCAAGCTTATTAACAGTATCGAAGCCAATAACTTTGAAGAATCTAGACGATTCTCATTATGCAAAATATATGTACCTAAAAGATATAGTTTTTTTTGTCTTTTTATATAAAAAAATCTTTTTGCACATCGTCGACAACCTTAGCGGCCGCCCGAGACTCGGGCGATGGCTCCGCCACTGCTCATCATTAACCTCACGGCGGATGACTATATTCATCCGATTTTCGTGATTGTACTACTCGAATATACCAGCAATTTTTGCTTCAACGGACGAGCATGCCACTGTAGTAAAAACTGAGGACAATTAGCTCAGGCCTATATATGGATGAATAGTCAAAACTCAGGACATATTTGATACACATAACTAATTACTAGATAGGCTAAAAATTAATTCAGATTATCTATATTTAGCTAGCTAGCAATTAGCCCTTGGATCAAACGGGCCCTATTCCTGCTTCTCAGTTTCTCCTGCAGTTCTGCTGCCTCCGATCAACACTCAGCAGAGACGTAGTGGACCGTCGTAGATGAGTGATAGACTGATAGCTCCGTTTTGTTTTCCCTCCCATCCCCCTCCGATCCAGTGTGTGACGCATATAGGTCTGTTTTTTTTTATGTGTGTGGTGCATTTTCAAACGCCGCATACGTTCTCACGACATGGGCAACGTACTTGGTCAGAGAGCCATGGGAACAAGCTATTGGTGCTATACGATACTGTCCAATATATTTTGTGTCTCACTCGGCGGTTGGCATGACTAGCGAAAGGGAGAGAGGGATGTCCTGCGAGTCGTCCTGCGCTCGGCACGCATACATATTTTGACGACAATGTTTTCTCCAGGTATGAAGATTACAGGGAAATTGGATTTGCTATATTTCTGGCATTTTTGGCAGAATATTAGTTAACATAAACATGCACTACATATAAAAGGCACGACCCCCAAAGCTACTATTGAAAGAACAAGTCAAAAGTTTTTGATGGATGGACAGAGACCACAGGACAGAATCGTCCAATTGTTTCAAACCTCATAGAACAGAAGCCACCTATCTTGACCAGCAGGCAGCAGCCCGCCACACCTTCCAATCGAATTCTGATCATAAGATCCCACCACAAAAATAACTGCATTATTAGCCAAAGATAAACCCTAGCCCCTAACCACCACCATATCCGGACTGTAAAACACGCATGTACACACAAAAACCCCAACCAAAACACACACACATGCGTGCTTCGTCGCCATACCTCTCCTATAGTTTACACAAATTCTTGCGACTCCGATGTGGCGAAGAAGTATTGCCCAAACAGTACCGGCAGATACGATCGAGATCAAATATGATACGCGATGACACGCTGAAAAAGGCAAGCACGTAATTTGTTCCTGATTTTTACACCTGGTTGCTGGTCGCCGCCGCCGCCGGCTCGACCCGGTGCTGCGCGGACTTGAGCATGAACCCACCAACCCCGGCCTTGTCGCCGGGGTCCTCGTCGTGGTAGACGTACGCGAAGCCGCCGTGCCGGGTGAGGTCCATGCCGGACATCTCGTCGTCGGCCGAGATGCGCAGCAGGTCCATCTTCTTGAGCGCGTAGAAGAGCGGGCCCATAGTGCAGCTTACCCACCCGGCGATCACCAGGATCTGGATGATCTGCGCGGCGAGGAGCTTCCCGCCGCCGCCCATGAACAGCCCGTAGGGCCTCCCGGCGCCGTAGATCTCCTCCACGTACTTTTGCCTCGCGAAGAGGCCCGTGAAGAGGACGCCCCAGGCGCCGCACCCGCCGTGCAGCTGCGCCGCCTCCAGCGGGTCGTCGAACTTGAGGCGCGCGGCGAGCGCGTTGGCGCCGATGAGCACCCACGCGGACACGAACCCGCAGATGACGGCCGCCCACGGCTCCACCACGCTGCACCCGGCCGTGATGGCCGCGAACCCGCCCAGGAGGCCGTTGCAGACGTCCACCACGTTCCAGTGGTTCGTCTGGAGCCGCTTCCCGAACAGCGTGGTGAGCGCGGCGACGCTGCCGGCGAGGGTGGTGGTGACGGCGGTGCGGCCCACGGCCGACCACTGCCCGTGGACGGTCCCCGCGGGGCCATAGGACTTGAGGATGGTGGTGAAGGACCCGGGGTTGAACCCGTACCAGCCGAACCACAGCAGGAAGGTGCCGAGCACCACGAGCGACGCGCTGTGGCCCTTGAGCGCC